CTCTGTGTCGCGACAGCAGTAACGCTCGCTTCGGCGCTAGCCTGGGGAGCGCTGCTCACCGAGGGCCACGCGGGCTTTCCAGAGCCGGTTAGCGAGACACAGGCCTCGTGCTGTGCGTCAGCGATGTGAACGGCAGGCGTGACGTCACGGGTCCTAAGCAGGGCGCTCTCTATTTCCGCTGCGCTGTGGTAGCGCGGTGATGGCACGGAACAGTGATGCAGCGTGCAGGCTAAATACCGCGTCGCGCCACCTCGGGCTGGGTCCATGTGGTTTAGTGTTACTGGTTCCCTATGATGGCAAAAGCAGGCACTTCAACGCTGCGTGTGCCCAAACATCCGTGCTGTCAGCATGTTAAATTAAAAGGCAGCAGCTTTGATAAAAGTTTTATGAACCCTTCCGTCAATAATCGTTAAACCTGAAAGCTAACGAGCTTTAATTAAGTACAGGCATATCAGCAATGCTGGTGGGAGGACCAAGCTGTCCTCCCAACACAAAAGCCTCCTGCTCTGCAACGTGTAGCGCGTGCCATTGGCAAGGCATCGGGAAGGGTTATCCCTCCCTTCGTTAATCTGACCCTTGTCTCAATACTGATTTTTTTATTTTTATTTTTAATGATCTGTGCCAGATACTCATGCGAACGTGTTTCTGTTCTCAGCTGGCAGTCTGTAAACCTAGTACAACGAGGCTGAGGTGGCACCAAAGTAAAAGAAAACAAAGTGAGGGCCTCAAGGCCGACACCGTTGTGCGTGGTTGGTTACTCCTGGGTTTCTCTCACGGATGTGCAGCAGGTTCCCCCTTCTGGCAGCACGGGTTCCAGGACAGCAAGCCATCTGCTCCGGTTTCTAATCATTCCCAGGTGCTTTCAATTACTCTTTAGCAGAAAAAAAAAAAAAAAACCAACGTATTTTTGTGACCAAAGATGTTGGAATCAACATCTGCAATCAGCCTCATTCCTGGTTTATGATGATTAAATTTGAAGACTGATTGGAAGAGACTTGGGAAGACATCAGGAGAATGGGTAATGAAGTACATTGACGAGGAAGGCGCAAAAGAAGAGTCATCTGAATGGGATTCTACCATAACAATTACATATTACATTCATACCACAACAATTACAAGTACACTAAGGCTTGAGGCTAATTAACACTTTTTAAATTGAAGATGCAGATCCTGATTTGCTACTTCTTTTCCCAGCCCCTCATCTCTGGCTAAAGTGGCTGCAAAGTAGGCACAAGAACTACCTGCTGTTCTGGGACCACTTTTTCTGCAGGTGGAAGAGACCGTATGGGTAAACAGCACCGGAGAATTAGGGCTTCTGGCGCGTCTGCTGCGTGTTCTCAAATGCGTAATAAAAAGACTGACAAACACTTCCGCTAAACCAAAATTAAGGCTTTGAATATTGCCCCAGTAAATTGTTTAACCATTACCAGATTATTTTCTTTATTACAAAAGAAAATGCATCCAGGAGATTTCTTTAGATGCAACTGAAATGTGGAAATACACATTGAAGACCACCAGACATTTAACACTGCCAGGCTTGAAATGTCACAAGGGAAAAAAAAACAGTCTTCAAGACAATGTATTTCTTAAATGGACATAGGATGACAAATCCATGTCTTTATCAGGAGCGCTTATTTATTTCTTAGCATTTGTAATTTAGGAAGGACTGAATACACACGCACGCAAAGCATTCATTTCTAGGTTCTGGTTTGCTCTCTGTCAGTCACAACACTAAATTTTACATCTTTTAGCAAGTTGTCTTTCACAGGTTGACCTTCATTTCATTTAAGTAGAATGTTAAACTGTTATTTATTCCCAAAAGTTAATGGCTTAAAAAGTGCCATACTTTGGAAAACTTCATAAGGAATATCATACCTGGCCCTTTACAGCCAAGAAGTCCCCTCTGGTCTATGTCAATTTTTCTTTTCCCAGCTTTCCCCTTCACTTTTGTTCTGCATCTGTTGTCGCTTCTGCTTCGATCCAGTCTCTCCTGTTGAGCAATTTGGACCACGCTACTGTTCGCTTTAACTTGAGAGTAGTCATTCAATTATACCTTAAGAAGAAACGAAGCTTCAGCTGTTGGCTTCTCCCTTTCCCAATTCTTTCCTATAATATTTCTTGTTCAGCAGAGAGGAGGGGCAGAAACTGATTCCTGTGTTATTAATGATTTGTTTTCCCACAGTTGTAAGGGGATTCTGCCGGACCATCAAGGCACCAGTTTGCTCTCATTGATGCTTGATAGTTTGGGTATTTAGAAGAGTACCACTGTAACTGCTGAGGGCTTACCTACCTCATGCACTCCCATTGCTCCTCTGAGGCAGTCCCACACGATCAGCACAGACATACCTGCAATGGTAACTAACACCAATCTCTCTTTCCCCCAGTAAATTTATAAGCCTGTCAGAGAATTATTGACCATAACGATACCTGGGATCAACTCTCTCTGAAGTTAAAAAAAATATGGATGCAGAGAGATATATTTTCACCTGAAAAGGCCCAAACATATACACCTACTTCCACTAACTCACTTCGAAGTCTCAGGGGGAAAAAAAAAATAAAACACCTCAGTATGTCTGTAAAATAATGCACATAATTTAGAAATTTCTGAAAGATTATATGTGATGCTTTGCGTTTGTTTAGCTCCAGCTGAGACTCTCCAGACACTGTGCAAGTTTACTAATGCTCGCAACACCGCTAGGAGTTAGATGTTCACGGAAGACTTTGGGTCAAAAAGGTTGGTAATGTACTTGCCAGCACATGAGCAGTAGCATAGCTGGGCTGGAAGCAGAATCCACCGTTCCTGAGTTCCCATTGCCACTTCCCTTCGTAGTCACTGGGTGCTTTCAGATGAAATCACTTGCAACGCTCCCTACGTAATTTGCAGCCTGTTTGAATAGCTGAAGAAGAGGGAGGCTTTTTTGGTGTTTCAAATTAATTACTGAGAATCTTATTGCAAACACTACGGAAATATTGTATAAACAATGATTATTATTAAATAAATTTTGACAGCCATAATAATATGTTTTATAGAACCAGTATTTTGCATTACAGGTTGGTTTAAATTTGGACATTTTATTCCCTTTTTAATAGCATCACCGTCAGAAGCATGCAGTCTTTTGTGGTCTCCCATGGCCCTCAGTTCTCAACCATTTTAACAGAAGCTGATGTAACACTGTTCATGTGGTGTTCACCACCTTGCAGCATGGAGCGCTTGAGGTTCAGAAAATGATTTATCTATTTTGTCCTTCTTGATTTGAAAGAAGGTACTGTTGCTAACATCTGTATATGGTTTTCATTTATTTTGAATGAAAGAGAGAACATTCCTCCAAGGTCGATAGGATTGCAGTTCCTCATAGCCAAACTAGCTCCATTATTTGTATCAGTAGTGTATAACGCAAAGCTAAAACAAGTTTTTATGCGAAGTTATAATGAACAATTTGGTTCTTGTTTGTGGTTATCTCAAGCTGGCTGTCCAAATCTCAAGAAACAATAAAGGACATCGGGTCAACGCCTGTCACATTTTTCAGAAAAAGAAACAGAAGTCTTCTGTCTCTCTCTACCAGATTGCTTTGTGATTTTTGCTAGATGGTCTGTAGCAATATCAAACATGTTCTTCTTTCTTTTCCCACACAGCTGCAGTTTCCATTTACTCACCCTTCCTGGAAGGATTACCCTTTTAATCGCTGAGTGCCTGCCAAAGCAGTGAAAAAGAGAAACCGCAACCTTTTTGAAGATGTGCAAAATAGGGAGATATTCCTTCCAGTTGCTTTCTGTGTCAGCATTTTCATAACTTTCAGCATTTTGGTATATCCCTGTGTTACTAAGATATGCGACACAGAAGCTGCAAGTGTAACCTTAAGATGGTACAAAGAACTATGATAAATTTAGATGTGTCTTTTCAAAGACTGGAGGTATGGCACAAGGCTGGGGCTGGGGCTGAATCAGAAAGCAGCCTTACCAGTGTATTTTTTTTGTGACGTCCAGCCCACTAAGGACATGAAAAGTATTGGAAGCTTAAGAATGGAAACAAAGATGGGCAAGTGTTCTTTTGATAACTGCAAGGAAGTTTAGGAAGATTTTAGAATTCTGCAGCAAGAGACTGTATCAGCAAATGGAGGAACAAGGTGAATTATAGATGTGAACTTTCGACTACCTGTACTGCCTGATTAGAAATGCTGCAGCAGGAAAGATTGATAAGCATCCTCTTGCAAGCTTGAAGAAGCATCAGGAGTTGTATTGATCAGTGCTGAACTCAGTACTGGGTTGTTGATAAAAGGCTCTTTTTCTCCTACTAATCACAGGCTACAACAAGGGAATAAAAAGAGGACAAGGGACAAAATCCCAAAGCTGTGAGTTTTCCCAAGGAGACGTTCAGTTTATGATGCAAGGCATGTTAGCTGTATGTATGCACAGAAATGTGCAAAGAAATATTCCCT